TGTACGACTGCTTGAAACAAAAGAAGAAGGACATCGGTACGTGGCACTCTGTTTTTTAGGCACGCACAGAAGAACAGACCGACGCCTAGGCCGCCTTTTGAGATATTGAGAGCGTGGATAAGAAGCCATCATATAGAGTACGGTGAATGTTTTTGGAAAGCAGCAGAATTCTCACCGACACCTGGGCATCATCCAAGCGAGTGGCATTTTGTTATGTTCATAAGGATGGCGAAATAAGGGAGGACGATAATTGAAGCAGAAGAGCACAGAGAATAGACTTTATATAGACGTGGACAGAGTCAGGCTAGCACAAGCACGTGAAAAAGTGGCCCAACAAACAGCCTCTTAGCTAGCGATGATGACGAAGGTCACCAAACAGAGATAAATATGACACCCATATGAGAAAGCCGAGGCCCGGCACTAGATACGAGATATATCCCCGACCCAGTAATGTTATGCAGCCAGTCTTTCGCTACGCCCAAACACCGCGGAAATGCAACTTTGCTGTACATATACACACATATCTTAGCCGAGCCGGTCGCTCGCGCGGTTCAATATATCCGCCGTCTTCTTGATGGCTTTGGATGCAGCATCCCAGTCTTTCTTCTCGATTGCTTCACGTGCGAAAGGGAAGACGCTGGCTTCGAGGCCGTTGTTGAGGTCGGGGGCGAATACGACGTGTTTGTATTGATCGCGGTTGGGCAACTGTCTGTGTGTTAGTTACTGATAACCATATTTATGGCGGAGGCGAGAAACTTACACCATGCGGCCCCTTGTCGTCCTTTCCCCTCGCGAGATCAAGCAAGTCTGTTTCGAAACCTGCGATCCTCCCATTGTGGCCTACCCTTTGTATTGTGACACCGCTACTTTCGAAGCCACCAGTGGCATAGACTTGGTTATACCAGCTTTGTTCCCACCGACCGAACGTCTCTGCTTTCTTCTTGAACATGCTCAGACTGTCGACTAGAGGTTGGAACATCTCAATGTCGTACTCGCCACCACCGCTTTTCTTCTCGGTCCAGTCCAACAACTGCTGGCCTTCTTCCTGCAGAGCGCGGGCGTAGTCATCAATCTTCATAGGAATGATGGGCTCTTGAGCGAGCTCGAGGATGAGAAGAACCCAGAGTTGGGCGAGCACGGCGTGGTAAGCGAAACCGGGGTCGATGTATTTGCGCATCCAGGAGAGAGTCTCGTAGCAGCTGCGCGCAATGGGGTTTGATTGACCCTCTTTGCTGGTGAAGCCGAAGTCGAGTGAGGAGGTACCAGCAATGGATTGGAAAGCAACGTAGTCGCTTCCAGCAGCTAGGTTACCAATTTTGGAGTCCGAGGTCTCCCACAGCTCCTTCATAGTCTTGTTCTCCCGGGGGTCGGAAAGTCGGTCGAGCACGCGCGTCCAGGCGTGTTGGAAGATCGGAGAGCCTTTGGCCCACAGCTTGTCACCCGTTACACCTACGTCGACATTCAGGTAGGCGATGGCGCTATCTCGAAGGGCTTGTACGTTGGCTTCAACATGCTCGGTAGAGCCGATTCTGTTGTATTCACCAGCGTCCCAGGACGCAAATTCGATTGTGCGGAGCGGTCGCCATCCTTGCGAGCGCAACTCGCCTAGTACACGTACAACTTCGAGCATGACAGCCGTGCCAGAGCCAGGGTCTGCCGCACCGAAACACCAGGAATCGCGGTGGTTGCCGATTATGATCTTGCTAGCCGGATCTTCGCTGCCCTTGAGAGATCCGAAAACATTGGTGATCCGCTGTTGTTCGACCTCATCCTGGTCGTTTTGCAGGAACACCTTTGGCGAAGTCTTTGGATGACCAGAATACCAGTGCTCACCAACATCCGGTACACCACCAATCCATTCATCTGGCAATTGCTCGCCTGAGCCTTTGAGCGACTTGAGCAGCTTCTGCGCATCCTTCCACGAGAGCGGTAGACTTGGGATTTTTGGCAAGGCCGGGTTCTTGTCTCGGGGCATGCGCTCCACCTTCTTGAAGCTCGGCAGTCCAGGCGTGAGCACATCCCCCATAATCATATTTGTCTGCCCGACGGATCCTCGCTGCACGCTGTCTCCAGGCCGCCACTTGCCATCTGGCCAGGGATTCCCCTTCTTGAAGCCGTCATCTGCTGGGTCCGAGTATACCAAGACTCCCACAACCCCAGCATCTTGCGCAGCCTTGATCTTCATGGATAGATCTGGCTGTGTTCCGTAATATCGGCAGAGCGCAATCGCTCCTTGTACGTCCACCCCGCTATCCCATAATCGCTTGAAGTCTTTCTTGTCGCAGTAGTTGACATATATCAAGGGCCCGGTGGCGTTTCCTGTCGCAGATAGGCCATGGTAGGCGGGCGTTTGCGCTTTGGCAGGATTGAAGACGGACGGCTCTTCGAGTTTGGCCTCCCACTTCTTATCCTGTGGCTCGACGATGGCGACCCTCCGTCCGCCCTTCTTCGCATAGTTCATGTATACGTAGTACCTGCTGAAGTTAGCGTGATCCTTTGTGGCGTCTCACAATGTGTAACGTACTCGTCGTGGGTATATGTGTCCATGTGCGCATCCTTGAACTTGCCCTCGATCCACTGCCCCAGCACATAACTCCCCTCAGTGCCCCCTATGTGGTCGTAGCTTGTAATGTATTCCAGATTCTTCTCAATTCGCCAGCTCTCGACGCTCTCCATAGCCGTCGAACGCACCCACTCGGGGTTGAATGGCGTGCCGAATCCTCCGCCCATGGGCACCACCTCGCTGACGACCAGCAGGTATACCAGGACGATGATCAGTATGAGACCGAACAGTCGCGCGATAATCGACCATCCCGGCTTATATTCTTCCGGTATCGTCGGTATGTGGTCCGTCATGGCGCTGAAATTGGGACGCCAGCTGGGCCAGGGTATTCGCGGCAGATTCCAACTCGATAGGGAATGTCTGATGCTGTAGAAGCGTTTCGAGAACCTGCCTCTTGATCGATTCCGCCTCGAGCGCCCCTCCTCAGCAGACTCTGGATCTAGAATGTCCATCTCCTCCATGGTCTGGCGCAGGTCCTCGTCCTGGCTCTCTCGCACCGGACTCCCGAGATCCGAGTCGCCATCGTCGTCGACCGACTGTACGGAGGGGGCCTGGTAGTATCCATTGCGCCTGCGCGGATCGGCTTGTATGCGCACATCCGGGCTCAGGAGGCCTTGCCGCTCGGCATCGTCGCTGGTCTCGTTGGGTCCGAGGCGCGCAGGGGCGTTGCGCGAGGAAGTTGCCTCGTCGTATGTGGGGATGGGTGGAGGAGAGGGCTCGCGGACGTAGCCATGTTTCTCGTCGCTCATGGCGAGTTAAAACTACGTGAGGGTGTCGTCGTCCACGTGGTGCGCGGTGTCGTGGTAAGGGATGCTCGCTCGCCCGCGGCGAATAGTCCGCAGGAAGCGAATGCTGCGTACGCGTATGCTTTGAATGGTAATTGGGTAGATGGGCTATCGATTGGGCATGTACATGGTGGACGGGTATAAGGAACGACGACAACTATATCAATACAGGCAAGAAGAAGGCGGACGAGGGGCTGCGTCTTGTCGGATGCAGGTGGCTGATGTGCATCCAGCATCTGGGGATGGCGGAGCGGAACATGGGTGCCGAGACCCTGTCCAAGATCTTGGTAGTTGAAACCATAGCTGACGATCTTTGCGACTGCATCACCACGGCATGTGTTTGAGCTTGGAAAGAAGTTTGTCAGGTGTCGCACGAGGCTTGCACTTTTCTACATGCCGCGCCCTCCAGTCACCTTGATCGTCTCTCCGTTTACATAGCTGAACAGCGGACTCGCAACCGCCAGCACGGCACTCGCCGCCTCGGTCGCCGTGCCCGGTCTCCTCAGAGGAATGTCCATGTGCTCCTGGCCCTGCCCTGCGCCTGCCTTTTGCGCCTGTGGTATTCCCAGCGCTACCTTCTCGCCGTCGGGCGTGGTGATAAATGCGCCCGCCTCCTTCGCCGCCGTCAACCGTGTCTGGATGTGTCCAAAGGCTACTGTGTTGGAGCGCACGCCGAATTGAGGACCCCATCTGCAGACACGTTAGAGGGAAATACATTCGAGGGAGAGAGGGAAGACGTACTCTTTCGCAATGGTCTTGGTCATGCCGGTCACACCCGCCTTCGCCAGGGCGTAGTTGATTTGTCCAGCATTGCCGTTCACTCCACTTGTGCTGGAGATGTTGATGATATTCCTCGGCTCGCCGTCCTTGACCCTGAAATATGGCGCCGCAGCCCTCACAATCTTGAAAGGCGCTGTCGCGTGCAGGTCGACAATCGTGTGCCATTGCTTGTCCGTCATTTTGTGGATGACGCCATCCCATGTGTAGCCGGCGTTATTCACGATGATGTGGATTTTGCCGCCTCCGAACTCAGCGGCCTTTGCAATAAGCGTCTTGATGTAGGCGTCGTCGAGCACATCGCCTGCGACAGCCAGGGCGCTGCCACCAGACTCGTTGATTTCCGCAGCTACCGATTCTGCCTTCTCTACAACATCATCAGCCCGTGTTTGCATGCAGCGACTGCATTGACTTACTGGCATCTACATCGGCAACCACAACCTTCGCGCCTTCCTTCGCAAACAGTTTCGCAGCCTCGGCGCCGATTCCCTGTCCTGAACCAGTGATAATGGCGGTTTGGCCAGCTAACATACCCTTGGGGTAGTTGAGATGGCCTGCAATCTGATCGATGCGCTTGGAGTAAGACATTGTACTTAAAATACCGCGTTCACTTGGGAGATAAAACAGAGTTTTTAGTCTTCTAGCTGAGAAGACACCTCAAGGTTTATGGGCGCTCCTTCCTGAAATGCGGAGTAACTCAACCGCAACGGCCGACATCATCACTGGCCATGCCGAGGTTCATGCCGTTAGCGCGTTTTGCCAGACGCGCCTTCCTAGGCACCTAGGTTCGGCTGACTCGACTTAAGACACCACACCAAACAACATGTCGCGAAGAAGGATCGGCTGCTGGAGAGGTCAAATATCATTTGATGGGCCTAAGGCTTCCTGCTGTTCTCCAGCCGCACATATGCTTGCTCGATTTCCTCCGAATAGTCCTGCTCAACAGCCTTCCTCTGGACCAACTGCTTCAAGCTGACCTTGAGCGGCTTCTCTTTCTTCGCAATCATGATCGTTTCCCTGGGAATTCTGATCTCACTCAAATCAGCCTTATTGGTGGCAGCAATAACCCCATCATAAAGCTCATCAAGCAACTGCACCTCGCTCTTTCCGTCCAGCACACCTTCCTTTGCCTGAACGATAACATACGGCGCAGGCCGGGCTTCTCCACCTACCAGCACATTTTCGACGTCTGGATGTTGCAAAATACGCCTTTCAATATCCTGCGCATGAAACTTTGCCAGCCAACTCAGCTTCGTCAAGTCGTCTTTGCGGGCAGAAAACGCCCATCGCGTGCGACCGTCAGAGTCCTTGACGGGCCTGTAGAGCTCCTTCGTTTCGATCCGCTCCAGGAAACGATGTGCTGTGTTCCAGAAGGATGTCTGAAAAGGATTGGTACGCCCATCTCCAACCTGCTCCAATATGAGCTCGTGGAGACCGTCCGAGCCTGCGTCCAAAGGCACCATCCTATGACCATTTTCTGGAACAAAGTCATGGGTATACCAGAGCTTTCTATCGGCTGGTCGTAGGCCAATCTGATCTCCATTTTCCGTGGAGCCAATCATCGGGCTCAATCTCGTATGCTGACAAAGGTCGTCCCCAATCGCTCGATCCAAGGGTGCACCCGTGTACACAATGAAGTCCAGTGACTTCAGCATTTGTCGAGTTTCTGGGTCCGCGTAGAGGCTATTGATAGTGAATGGAGGGCATCTGCAGAGGTAGAGGTACGAAGTCAGTATATGTCTCATATGCACTTCGTACAGTCAGAACTTACCTAATGCCTTCAATTCTGTTCATCGACACGATCTTCTTGAACAGGTTAGGAGTCAGGGAAACTTCGTCCCGGGGCGTCATGACGCAGGGACTGTCTAGGAAGAGCGGGCTCAAAACCATCGCATGTAAGCCGGCTATCCATTGCGGTGGACATGGATTGAGAGACGTCTTCCCGATCCAGCTTTCGTACTCAATGCCGCGGGGCCAATGTCTTCGACTCAGTATCGGCACATTCCCTAATCCGCTCCACATGCCATTTGTGTGAAAGATAGGCTTGGGTTCGCCTAAAGAGAAGTGAGCTTATGAGATAACAGATCATTTCAGACAGCTTACCAGTAGTGCCTGATGTATGGATGATGACGATTTCATCCCATTTGGCCTCTCCAAACGTTTTGTCATACGTGTATCGCTTTTGGCCTCCGTTGTCAAGCATCCATTCAAGCGACGGCAAAGCACATAGCTTCAAGCCTGAATCTGCATCGACCAACGGCCCTACGGCATCGTCTTCTGGATAGAGCCATACTTTGCAACTACTCGCTTTAATCAAGCCCGCAAGCCCCTCTTTGGTCACTCGTCCATCGGGAATCAGCAAATACAGAGGCTGTCAGCCGTGAGGTCACACCGAACGATCTGACACTTACTTTCCGTCCATTCTTTACAACAGCTGGTATCAAGATGGCATACCGTGGATCGTTGGGCCCGAAATAAGCAATCGTCTCGCAATCCACCGCTTTACCAAGCCGCTCGTCAAACCAGAAAGCCATCTTATCGATGGCACTTGCGTATTGCTTCCATGTAATCGTTTTGTAACCGCTGTGCAACCAGTCATCCGGCGCATAACGCATGTACATGTTGTTCGGTATCCATTGCGCTTTCTCCTCGATGGCGTGCACGAAGAGCTTACCCTGGCGGTACTCTAAGTTGTTCTCTGCTGTGATAGTCATCTTGAAATGTGAAAATGAGGGCTTGACAAACAAAGGGACGTAGCAAGGCTGCTGTGATAGCCAATGAAAGTTGACCTCTATTGCTCGCCCAATACTGTCTTTATGTACACTTGTTTTTTAATCGTGTCGGCCAGGTATACATGAATTCTCCCGCTGTACGCACGTAAGGAAGCCGCCAGTCTGGCTCGATTCACTATCTGATACACGTCCAAACACTCGCATACTTCATCGATCGGCCCGTTGCCAACAAAGCTCCATGTCTTTCCCCATTCGGCTAGTGCTTAGCTCATCAGCAACACGCGTCTTAGCATACAACCTTAAGTGCCGGCCTGAAGCTTGTATTCAATGGGATATAGTTGCAAGGGTCATGCCGCTCCACGAGGATATCGAACATGGGCAATGAGGCTAGAAGTCAAGCTCCCTGACGCGCCACTCATGCATTAATGTGTCTGGGTGCAAAGCGTATTCAGCGAAGAGACTGAATCCATCAAAACAACATGAAATCATTTTTAGCTAGTGCAGTGGGTGGTTCTAGTGACGGCAATCCGAAGGGCGACTCGCAGCTTATTAATACATTTCCCTCTTTCACATGCCGCACTATGTGTGGCCACGATCCATGCCGCAATTTATGCGAAGGTTTTTAGACAAAAGCTTGTAATGTCTTAGCGACTGATTAGTTATTTGTCGCGGAGGAAAAAGACTAATCTCTAACCTCTGCGGCTAGATCATATACACACTCCTACATTATTGTTTTCTAATCATATCTGCAGCAAAGCATCACCCAGAGTGTTGCTATCCTATATGCCAGAAATCAACTATGCATATTTAGTTGCAATGTCACACAGCTGGTGCATATGTCAGATGGCAATGTCGAACCCGTCTCTGGCATTGTATACGCTTTATACTACGAGCGCATAGAGAAATCCATTCCAGTCTCATCGAGATATCGTTAATTAAACAGGCCTTAGACCTTGGTTTCGACGTTCACATTACCGATCTTCTTCTCTTCGCGGTACTGCTCTTCCGCAATCACATCAGCGGGGATGCGATCAGGCGTCTGGTTCACCAGTACCAGCATCGGACCTAGCGCAAGTGCCATCAAGCCAAAAGTGACGCAGAAGCCGATGAGAGGGGATGTCTTGATTTGGGTGTTCATTCCGTACGAGATGGCTTGTCCGATGGCCTCGAGACAGCGGAAAGCTGCACCATTACGTACGTTTGCTGTATATCATCAGCGATGGATCAAGAAGACTTGCCGAATGATGAGACATACCTTGAGCGTCTGTTGCGAAAGAAGAGAGTAGCCAGTACATGTAAGATTGCGACAAAGGACCGGTCGTCTGCACAAAGAAGTATGGCAAGAAAGAACGCGCATACAGCGAGTCATCCCAGTCGATCTTGCCTGGGTCATTGCTGTTGAATCTGACTTGCATGACGATGGACCAGATGTAGACACCAAGGTTGAGAAGCACGACGGTAAAGAGACCGATTTGTGCACGACGACGTTGGCTGACACCCTTGAGATCGAGGATGAACCCGAGACCGAAACAACCGACGATACAGAAGAAGGGCGAGACGAGGGAGGAGAGAGCGCGGGCGCGGACGCTGAAGTAGGTTCCAAGATAGGTCGACCACGTCCCACTAATAGCTAATTAGCTGCCGCTCCTTTATGATCGTGTGTTGGCTGACCTGTAGAAGAACGACCATATGGCCCAGAATGCGGAAAGCAAAATAAGCTTCGACGTCATCGTGATCTTGATCTGCTTGAACTCCATAATGGTGCCGATCTTTTCAGAGACAAGGATACGCGTTCCGTCTGAGCGTACGACTCGTTCAAGAGGTGAGATGAGGAAGGCGAATGGCAAGGCCATACATTCGATGATCAAAAAGGCGACATAGGTATCCGGAGTTATGCCGCCGACGATACCTTTCTCGTGGTTCTTTGACAGACTGTGACACAAATTTTAGCTGCTGCGAAGTGGGCTTCAGTCTGTAAAACTCACTTGATAGCACCACCGACAAGCTGCCCTAAGTTTCTAGCAACGATCCAAAGTGCCAGGTACTTTCCACGAGATCCAGCTGGCGCGAGTGACATTATAGTTCCGGATTCTGCAACATACCAAGTGCCCGTCCCCACGCCAGTGAAGAAGCCGCCCAAGATCAAGTACCATTGGTTTCCGAACTTGGAGTTGCAGTAGTAGGAAGAGCCGCGGATTGGAAACGAGCAGGCGCCGATGACCAAAGCCCATTTCGTTCCGAGTTTGTTGACGATGGGTCCTCCGAGAGCACAACAGACAGCAAGCATGGTGTAGTTGACAGCGGTCGCGATGTTCGAAGTCTGGGGAGTAGCGAGACCACCTCCACCAAGGCCTGCAAACTTATCAATTCCAAGTACCGTTTCATGAGCTCAAAGACGACTTACCAGCAATAGCATCAGCCATAGCAGGACCGCAGAAAGCCTGCACACTGAGTAGCAGCATCTGCGTCAAGCTGTGCTGCCATATTCTCTTCCACTTTGGAACTGTTCTAGCATACTCTTCCATATTGATTCTCTCGTCGGCGACATCGTATGTTGGAGGAGCGTTGAGCGGGTCGTTGCCCTTTGTACGGAGCGCATCGTCGTCGCCGCCGGCATGTGTATTGGGAGGAGCAGCGTCGAACTTAGACATCTTGAAGTACTCCTACTGGGAAGACCAAAAACGATACGGAGCAGGTGCGACTGAGCTTCGAGCTGAGGCGAGATCAAAGGCATCGCACGCGACCTTTATATACACCATGTCTCTCCCGCACACATTTACCTTCTACCGTCTGTCCGCGCGACCAGCATCGGCTTATCTGTGGATCCCGGAACTATGTTACCCCAAGCTGGGGTAAACGAGTCGTTCCCGTCCAGCTGATAGGGACTTGTGGAGTCAATCGCTCCGGTGATAGACCGGTTTCCGAGGGGAAGGGCAGTTTAGATGAGAGTGTAGACTAGGCTGGATATGGAAGTGCGAACAGTTTGGAAAAGTGGAGGTTGGAAACTAATGTGATTAAGGGATGGTAAGCTTGCACTAGACATGGTTGCGAGGCTTGGATGTCGGGTCGATGCAAGGCGTGAGTCAGCTGTTCAGGTGCTCCGCGGGTTGAGGGCGACTTTTATAGAAAAGAGCGTTGTTGATATCGCCCTTTGGCTGCATAGACCCAGTTTCGTTATCGCAATGTCAAGCATGGAAGGTCGTGGCCCTGCTCCATGCTCAAACCGGGCAGGAACGGAGCCCCCCCTGCTTGACGCATCGCTGACGTCCGCCAGCCTAACCCCGTTTGGAAGGGGTAACAGTCGGGATCGCCAAGCGAGAACGGCCGCGATCCTTGGGACGGCAGGCCTCAATTACTCAATCAAAACCTCGCGTGCTCGCATCTGGCGCGTGGAGAATGCGTCGCCATCGTGTCACCGTGCTGGTGGCGTGTGCAGCCTCTAGGGATACTTAACCGGCGGGATTACATCGTGGGTCGTTACTGATAACGACTTCCGGCAGCGCCTCCCCATTCCAACACGCGAGCCATTTCAAGCGCGATAGACTTTGATAGTTCAGCATGGCACCGTCGCGAGAGACTACGTCCGTCATCGTTGCTGGTGGTGGCGGGACGATAGGGTCGTCGACAGCCCTACATCTCGTACGCTCAGGATACAAACCTTCAAACATCACAGTGCTAGACACGTACCCAATACCATCGTCACAATCGGCTGGAAATGACTTGAACAAGATCATGGGCATCCGCTTGCGGAACAAAGTGGACTTACAGTTGAGTCTGGAGGCGAGACAGATGTGGAAAGAAGACGATCTGTTCAAAGAATATTTTCACAACACCGGTCGAGTGAGTATTTCAAGCGCAACCTAGCAAGAAATATATTTAGAGACTAATGGTATTTGCAGCTTGACTGCGCCCACAGTGAAAAGGGTCTCAAGGACCTCAAGCAAGCTTACCAGGCTCTTCTCGACGCGGGTGCTGGCCTAGAGACGACAACAGAATGGCTAGATTCGGAGGACGAGATCTTGAAGAAGATCCCACTCCTAGATCGCGAACAGATCAAAGGTTGGAAAGCTGTCTATAGCGATGACGGCGGCTGGCTTGCTGCAGCAAAGGCCATCGATGCCATTGGTGGGTATCTGCGCGATCAAGGCGTCAAATTCGGCTTCGGTGGAGCAGGATCCTTCAAGCAGCCTCTTTTGGCTGAAGGTGTGTGCGTTGGTGTTGAAACGGTGGATGGCACAAGGTATTACGCTGACAAGGTGGTTCTTGCGGCTGGTGCATGGAGTCCCGTGCTTGTCGATCTGCAAGACCAGTGTGTTTCGAAGGTATGTTATTTCAGCTCAGCTAACTACTTCCAAATTAACGTCTTCAGGCATGGGTATATGCCCACATTCAACTCTCTCCCAGCGAAGCCGCAGAGTACAAGAACGTCCCTGTAGTCTACAACGGTGACGTGGGCTTCTTCTTCGAGCCTGACGAACACGGCGTCATCAAAGTCTGCGACGAATTTCCAGGCTTCACACGCTTCAAGCAACATCAGCCTTTTGGCGCATCGGCACCAAAGCGCATCTCGGTACCTAGATCTGCTGCGAAGCATCCCACAGATACCTATCCGGATGCCTCCGAGGTCAGCATCCGCAAAGCTATTGCGACGTTCCTGCCAAAGTTCACAGACAAAGAGTTGTTCAACAGACATCTGTGTTGGTGTACAGACACAGCAGATGCGGCACTTTTGATGTGCGAACATCCTGATTGGAAGAATTTCGTGCTTGCTACCGGAGATAGCGGGTGAGTTTCTTCCTCGTTACGAATGCTGTTTTGCTGAGTTACTGACCTGATATGTAGCCATACCTTCAAGCTACTTCCAAACATTGGTAAGCATGTGGTCGAGTTACTCGAAGGTACACTGGCAGATGACCTCGCGCATGCATGGAGATGGCGTCCTGGTACTGGTGATGCGCTGAAGTCAAGAAGGGCGGCTCGTG